ACAAGGAAAATAACACCGCATGTGTTATTATAAAAATAAAATGAGCACTTATACATTATGCCCACCATAAGACAAAAATCATCAAGCACAAAAATGCATGGTATGAAAAAACATCAAGCAAGAAATTCATGAAACTAATGAAATATTATAGAGGGAAACAAAATGTGAGAAAATTATACTTAGATTTATTTAAACACTTTTTCTCACTTAGCTATTGCATGTAATTTCAATTTGCTGCATATTTGCAATTGCTATTAATATGGTTTTAAGAAAAATTACATAACATAAGGAAATTCATATTATCAGTTATTAATATGGTTTTCCTACGCACTGACACATACAGGTGCCTTTTGTGATCATTTTCACATATCCTATCATCAGTTAATATGACTTCTACTTGAAAATATACTACTGCGTTTTTCTCACTCCTTAATAAACTGAAATTCAAAATAAATTCTACTTATGCGTACATGTGTGTTCATAATATATTGAATGCACAGAGTTCCCATGATAGGTTAATAAAAATCCATTTTATCAGAATAAACGCATCAAAATTCTGGAATTTTCTGCAAAAATACTCATACAGGTGTCACAGTTCAAGCAGAAGTTATGCTTCAAACTACTAAAAACATTACACACAATGCAACATGCATCTAAAGAGAAACCTAACTTGGATATATCTCAATTTACATGGGACTAACAACTCACACAACAATAAATAAGCAACTGTGAGCAGATGCTCTCTTTTACTTTAAATAGTTTTCAACTGGCTGCCAAGATATTTCCAGTACTTCCTGCTTCTCGAAATTACTGAAAAGCAATATGAGAGTAGAATTACGGTTAGAGTGGTCAATTATATTTATTAAATTTCAATAAATACAGGGAGCAGACAAAAAGTTGCCAAATTTGAGGACGTTATCCCATAAAATCTAGCAACAAAATAAGTCGCCAAAACCGTTATCAGGTTGGTGATATATTGCCAAATTACCGAGATACCCATTTATTCAATGTTAACTGCACTTGCCCCTGTATTCTCACTTTTCCAACACAGCTTCTCTTTACATTTTTCATGTTATAAAAGAAATACAACAATTTTACTTATAATTCTAGTAAAATTACTTATCTATGTACAAAATTCATAACACTACATCGAAAAGATTGATTAGTACATGCTTTTGGTTTATCTGCAGTATACTAATTATCTCTTTTGAGAAAATAGGTTGAGTGCATGAGGTGCTAAATATGACTAGTTTTCAGTCAATGACCAACTTCGTTTTATAGTGGTTGTTGTAACACACACTTATTTGAAATTACTTTATTAAGCCACTGTGATGGTTTAACTGTAATTAAACTGTTTTGAACTTTTATTTACTTTTGTTTATTTAATTGCCTTAGTTGATATATTTAAAACTGTAACTTTAAAGAAACTGTATGTAGATAACTGTAACCGTATCTGTATATCAATTAGTAGCGTGATTCCACTGATGCTTGCATGCAGACGTATTCTTCTTATAACTTGTTTTTGTTAAATATAAAAGTTATGTTATGAAGACGACTACTGATTTATTTTAGTAAGCAAATTACTTCTCCTCCAGATAACGAACATTTATGTAGTAGTGTACACCATCACCATAGATCAGATTAAATTTATATTATTAAAGTATATCATATTAAGATCAAATACCTTGAAAATGCTGCTTCCTAAGTCTATCAAATACATCTTAATAATCACAAAGACAACTTGCTTTATGTCATACCAGAAACTTGGATGAAGATATTATGAACTAAATTTAAACAAACCAATACATGCTTAAACTTAAAGCAACATAAAAGAGAATTTCTTTCAAATGAAGACTCAGAAAGAATAACAGAATAATGATTAAACAGAATTATGTATCTACGGAACCACAAAAACCTTTATTTTTCTACTCTCAGCAGTGAGAGAAAATATTTTGCAAAGTAATATGATGTTAAACTTTGCTTTTATACTGATATTTCATTTAACACCTTGACTGCCATGGCACTTTTCGAATTCTGGTCCGAGAAGCCAAATCAATTTAATCATATTATGTTATTAATTTTTATAATTATATTTTTTTGTTTGTTTTTTAATAAATTTTCTGTTCATGCAAGCCAGCATTGATTTTTTGTTCTTTTCCCAGAAGCCATCTATCGATATTAGCACTGATATATTTCGAGATTAATCGTAGCTTCACAAAAATGCCAAGTAAACACAGTATGAGATAACTCATAGTTGTCGTCCTAGAAAAGAACGCAATCTACGAGTGATCTCGTAGTTGGCAGTCAATATGTTAAATACATATTTATCCCATAAGTAAAGAAAGAACATAAAACTAGTGTTAACTTTACTGAAAAGAGTATTTAATCAGTTTCAATAAATGTTCAGTTCACTAGAAAGAGTGTTTAATCATTTTCATTAAATGTTCGCTTCTTTACTATTTTATGAAAAGTTTTAATCAATTCATTTTTAATACACTCGTGTGCAAAACTAAGAGAATTTGAATATTATGGTTGATCGCTAATTATACCACCAAAGAATGATGCAAATATTCACAGCCAAATATGTAAGCATACACGCGTATACCTGCAGAGCTGATTGTGGAAGGATATAAACGCAAAAGGGGTTTTCAGAGATTTGTGAGCTCATACTCCTTCACAACATTCGCTGTGTCTCTTGCAAGAGTTGGGTAAATTTTATAAAGTATCACATAAAATGAATAGCCATGGATGATGGAATGAGATGAAGAATTGTCCGGTGTTGCCTAGTGTTGTCTGCTATTTGTTAACAGTTAAGATAATTGATCCATATCGAAAAGACATAAACAAGTTTGACCAACATTTACAACAATAAATGAGATCGTTATCTGGCACTTTCAGTGCGACAACAAAAGCTCCTCAATTCTCATGTAAGCTGTATGCTGCTGCTAGAACTTTGAGTTTCAGTCTACAGTTTCCCGAAGGCTTCATGAGGTAAAGCTGTAAGCTAAAAGATCCACTTTTTTCATCCCACTCACTACAGCACACAGGAAAGAGCATTTAGAATGGTGCAAACATGTGCTTTGGACTGGGCTTTAACAAAGCATTGTGTTTTTTACATATAAGTCGAGATTCAGCCTGGACACTGATTTTTGGAATACTTGTATCTGAAGACAGCCTAAAACATCCTTCCCTCATCAGACAAAAAGATCATTATGGTAATGGAGATGTAAAGGCATTATGTTAGACGTCTGCATAACCCTAAGTGTGCTTGACAAAGGTTTCCAAATCGCTGTACGACACTGATGGATCTTAGAAGCCCTATGTTCGAATTTTCAAAAAATATAATTGGTCCTGAGTTCCTGTTAATGGAAAGGTTCATCCAGATAGAGCTCAGCCAGTCAATGATTACCTGGAAAGTGAAGATATTCATAGCATGGATTGGCCAAGCAGATTTCCTGACCTTTACCCAATACAACACGTCTGGGATGCTCTTTGAGGGCAATTTCATCTCATCATTCCCCAGTTAAAAACTGCCTTCCTGCAGGAGTGGAATGTCATCTGTCCAGTATGCCAACGTGCTGCGACGGGACCATATGCAACTTTAGAATAATTTTCAGTTCGATATCACAATGTAAGTTTTGGATCTCATGACACTATAAGCTTTATTGATAATCATACGTACATAAAATGACTTTTGACTATCTCTTCTTCTGTTATAAATGTATATGTATACCAAATTTTATTAGTTTTTCAAAAATTTAAATAATGTGCAAATTCTCTTAATTTTGCATGCAAATGTATTTTTCTAATTCTAATCATCCACCTAATTATAATAATGATTAACTTGATTGTTAACTATGATTGTAATTAGGAGGAAGGCTATAAATATGTTAACGAGCACTTGAAAATTCAATATTGTGGTAGTGATTATTTTGTTGGTTGTGGTGGCAAATGTATATGCCACATGTTATGATAAACAGGAATATAGTGGCAACTTACCCCAGGACAAGATCCAGGTCTATAGCCCGCCATGACGAGAGAGTGACAAACACGTGAAAACAGATTTAATTCTTGCTTTATTGGATACTAACAATACTGAAGAGATATTTCTTTTTTTTTTGTAATCCGGTATGTCACATGATGATATGAGGCCTCCTCACTCAGAACAAAAAAGATAGATCAATTCTTCCACACAGCCTTTCGAAGACTTGGTGTATTTCAGCTCAAACACATGCAGGTACTCTTCATCGGGATGCCGGGTGAAAATGCCAAGCCCGGGAAAAAAAGGAGATTAGCTTAAATTTTGCAGCTACAACATTAAAGAGAAAGAAGCTCGCTTCCTTCATACATACGGGGAGACCAAAGAAAGCTTGCACGATAAACTCCCAAAAGTTTGCATTTTACCCCACTCTTACTGTCTTTCTCTATGCAGCATCTCCTTCTCGCACCTTCACAATCTCCTCCTTCTCCTCCCTCCTCGTAGACAAAAAAATACCGCCTTTTATAAAGTTCCACAGTTAAGTTTTTCCGCCCAATGAAAAAAGATCCAGCGTCAGAAGGCAACCAATCGCAAAATACCTTCAGCTACCCAGGCAAACAGAAGTGAAGACGCTAGTTGTCTAATGCAATACTTTCCTCCGCTTACAACATTTGTCTGATGAAATCTGTTCCTCACCTTACAACACAAGTTGGCGAACAAAATGAAACTGTCACCAAAGGAATCTGATGCAAATATCTAAATATTGCCATAATGTAGTAAATAATTAATTCAATGTGACCTCGTCATAAATATATTATAAAAATAATGATAATGTGATGATATAGACTGTAGTCTACAACCTTAAAGAATATAGAACTTGAATTTTTGATAGAAGGTATTTTTAAAGTAAAAAAAAAAAAAAAAGTTTTAATTATGATTTTTGTTTGTTGTGTTTCTTTATGAAAGCACATGTTATTACATTATGTTAATACAGTAGTAAAAGCACTTATTCAAATCCAACCTGCAAAATGTCTTGAGTTTCGCTTCAACACTCCTATGCCTAAGACATAATCTTGTAAGAGCTGAGCCAATGTCCTTTGTTGCACCTAGGTTATATGAGTATAAAAAAAATCCATTTAATTAATAACTTGGACAATATTGCTTGAAATCCAAATTTTTACTTTTCTAAAGAAAAATTATATTGAATATAGAAAACTGGATTATATAGTAATAGTTACCATTACATTTCAGCTATAAGATTGGTTGATCTTTGGATTATGGTTACTTGGCGATTTTTTGGCAAAAATTTGGCGACCAACTCTGCTACAGCAACCCTCTATTTTTTTTTTGCCGCCATTTTGTCTTCACGAAGTAAAGACATGTTTCTTTTCTTTTTATTTACTCAACACTTTTTCCAACAATCTACTAGCCGGAATTACACTGATGCTAGAAATTTTATGAAACAAAACTGCTTAATCATGACAAATATTAACTGCAAAATTGGGAAAAAGTGCAGAATTGCAAACTCCTTGCGCGCTTTTCAGAATAGCACATACACATAAACCATTTACACGTCGACTTATTTTTACTTAAAAAAAATTCCAGAATTGCACAAAAATGGCATTGCGCAAACTCTTCTCTACATCCATGTACACTGCTTTTTTCTCATAAATTAGAAAAATTTCACGAAAATGCATGAAAATACTCAACGTATACTACTCAAACGTATTCCAAAATACTACAAACATATAACTCACAAAATCACGATCATTAAATTAAAATATAATTAAATTAAAAAACACTACTTAAAATATAAATAAGCACATACATTAAATTAATAAAAATTAGATTACAATTCTAATTACTTTAAACTAAATCATTGCTAATAACAATTTTCCAATAATACCACATTAAATTTACTCCTTACATTTAGAACAATGCATAAAAATAATATCCTCAAATGATTAAAAATACTAACTTACCTAATCTTCTTCAGAATCTTCATTACGTCGCTGCAGTACTACTGCTAATTTCTAAATCCAGTAGTCAACTGGAAGTCTATTCACCAAGTAATAAGAAATTAATAAAATTTCACCTATACTCAAACTACTTTCAGCAAACCACGTACCCTTCCTTACACTCCTTTTCACAAAATGTCCATTTTCACCATATTTCTTGCACCGCCATTTAAACTTAACTGTAATATCCTTCCTTTCACACAATCTCAACTTATTATTATTATCAGATAAACGCATTAAAAATTTAGAATTCACTTTACATAGCGCCATGCAATCCGAAAATTAATCAACACTATTTCACACAACACACAATGAAGCTTAATACAAAATAATTTTTCCAAATTAACCCCCTTTTCCGATTAAAGAACTGTAATTCGTCCATTAATGTCACGTTTCACACAACACAGAATAAAGCTAAATACGAAATTTCCAGATTTTTCCAGATTTCCCCCCTTTTCCGATTAAACAACTGTAATTCGTCCATTAATGTCACATGACATATCTCATGATCTCTCATTTCCCTCACACAAAATAATGCGTAATCGGAACTGAGTGCTTCTCACATTATTACCAAAGTCCTAGGTAGTAACCTTTATCGCCTCCAAAATGTCGCCAAACTACCAGTTACCATATTCCAAAGATCAGCCATAGACTTTAAGATTTAGAAATTAAAAAATTTATATAAAAAATTATTTATTTTTCTTATAAAAATAATAAAATTTCAGGCGATATCATTTCAAAGTTTTTCATGTATGAACACAACACAAAAATAAATATAAGAGAAATATTAGGTTAAGAAATTAAATAATAAGTATGTGACGTGTTTATGAAATACCTGGAAGAAATTGCAAACTATTCATTTAAATTACTTCAAAGAAAATATGAAATATATATAACTAAAAGTTGAATATAATGAAAAACAAAGTATAATAAATTCAAGAGTTTAAATTAAAATTTTTAAGTCTACATGCTTAGTCTTTTAAACTGATATTTTTAAATTTTAAATTTTTTCATAACTAATATTTTTAAATATTAGTTACTACAAACATTAAATTAAAGCAACACTATCAAAATAAACAACAACAAGGCCATAAGCCATAATAAAAAAATTTCCGATAAAATGATAAAAAGTTGAAAATTTTAAAACTTAAATTACATTTAAAATATTTGAAAAATAAGAAATTGAAACTTCTTCATTGATATAACAGATCTGGTAGAATAAAACGGATTTAATTAACATGATAATACAATTACCTCGAGCATTGGTAGCCATATCAGCTATTTTTTGGAAAGAATCAAGAAATGCTGTCAAAGCTAAAATTGTAGCCCTGAAAAGAATTATACCTAATTATAAGATTATGTATGAAAACATAAATATTTTAAAGTTACTAAAATGAGATAAAAATAAATCTTAAGGAAAACAACTAAAATTCCAAAAATGCATAAGGTATTGGGTGCTTTGTAAAGAAGTGGAATTACGTTTTAAAATCATTAAAAATATTTTAAATTTGACCTCACTATCATTTAAAATGATGTTTTCCCTTAATTAGGATTAAAAATAATCAAAATCTTTTCACTTAAATGCAATACCAGAACAAAAGTGAACTGCAAAGATACTTATCTGGCTAGGGTGTTAAATTTTTAAGAGCTAAATTTTACTCAAAGAAAATTAAATATGAGAGTGTTAACATCAATACTCAAATTATGTTAAGATTTTTACATAAGTTACCGGCAAATTTTGAAATACAGTATTGTATATAATGTTTTAGGCATTATATACTGTTGTATATAATGCATATAATGTATATAATGCCTAAAACTAGCTGGCAATGTATGAAACGATTTACATTTCACACATTTCCTCGGCATTCCATAAAACGCCAAATGACAGACAGGCAAAATATGAAATACATTTCTTATTCGCTTCAAAAATTCGAAACTACTTATTAGAAGTTAATAAATGGTGTAAAAAAGCAGTGACTGCTAAGAAACAACCACAGGACTACTGGCCGCTGAATCGCTAGGATGTGATGTTTGTGAAAAACAAAAGTACATTCATTTATCCTGTTAAAGAAAGCATCAGAACTATACAGATTACATCAGAGACACTCAGTTATTTCCCGTACTTCATGAAAACTTATTTCAGTATTGGACATGGGGGACATGACAGAACATTGAAAGAACTTTCAATCAAATACAAAAACGTTACACGTAATGATATTGAAGCAAAAAACCACCTTTGTGAACCCTGCCAGAAAAAACAAAAAGGTACTAAAAAGGGCACTGTTGTGAAACTTATCACTGTTTCTGAATTTAATTTCTGTCGTCAGGTGGATCTTACTGATTCCCGAAATACAAATTTAGAAAAGACAAATTTATTATGTTGTAAATAGAAATAGAAAATACAAATTTATAATGTTGTATCAAGATCATCTCACTATTTTTTTTACATATTTTCAATAACAGTTTTTAATGGCACTCTTTCATTAATTTTTTTCAAAATAACATTTGTATTTTTGAAGAATGATCGTCTTTTAAATAATAGCCTTATCATAACCTTTTTTTCATACTTTGCCTAAAGAGCATCTGTCATTCTATAGAATGGCTAGGTATTATATATAATGCCTAGGGAAAGTATGTAATAATTCTCATAATTCATACTTTGCCTAAAAATGCCTGGCATTATATACAATGCTGGCATTTCATACTTTGCCAGCAACATATACATTTACATATACTTGCCATCAGAATTAAAGGATAATGACAGCAAACTGATACTTAACTAAAAATTATTAATAGAAATTTAATTAAATTTAAAAAAAAACATTAATTAACATAAATTATAATGCTTGGCAATTGATTAATCATAAAATATTGAAATTAAAACCAAATCTATGGAACCTAGGAAAATGATGAAATATTCCTTTAATATGAAAACAAGGTTAACAAAGAAATCTGAAAAAGATTCAATGGAGAAATTCTTATGGAAATGTGTCCTTCCCCAATATTCCTCATCCAGCTACTTTAGAGGCCATAAATTTCTGCAATTATAAAGAGACTACTCAAAAGTGTTTTCATATGGTTTACTTTACAGATGGCAGTAAAACAAACAATAATGTTGGCCTTACATTTGCTCTTTTTCAAGACCAATCTGAGGTTTGCCATTCTAAACACTGTATTTGGAATGAATGCACAGTTTCTCAAGCAGAACTTTTATGTATTTATCTTGCCATCAAATGGATCAAGGATAATGGGACAGCATCCACAAGGTACCTTATTGTTCCAATTCTTCTCTTCACTTTTTGAACAGTATAAACAGCATCATTCCAAAGACTTCATTCTGAGTCTCTCTATTAATTTTAAAGTATCTCGGTTTTTATATGGTCACAATGAATTTGAAAGTTACCTGTTTCATTTCAATCTAAGATCAAATAATTTATGTTAGTGTTTTAAAAAAATAAAAAAAACAAGCACTTCAAGCTGTGGAACATTTAATTTTATCTGCCCTACCTTGCTTGCAAAATGATTTGAAAAAGTTTGGAGTGACTTGGCCAGTGAACTTATCTGTTTTCATTAAGTCCAGACTGCTGTTCTCTGTTTCTGTTAGTTTATTTATTTAATGTTTTAGTTAACTTACTTTTTTGAGCCCCGTGTTGTACACCTGTGGTACCCAGGGAGATTGTAAGAGATAAAAAAAATTGACGTATGCTCATCTAGGATAAATATACATAAAAGAATACTAATTATTCTGCCACAAGAAAGGAACTAAATATGCTACCACAAAATTATGCAAATATTTAAAGTCAAATACATAAGCCTACATATGCATATCCACACAGCTGTCATTGTGGAGGAGATAAAAGTGCACGAGGGTTTTGGGCAATTTGTGTGCTTGCAACTCCTTCGCAGAATTTGACTTGCTTCTCACAAGAGTTAGGTAAATTTTAAAAGGTTTCAAATAAAATGATTTATCCATGAATGTACAGATTATGGAATGAGGTAGGGATTTGTCAGCAGATTGGAAGCAGGCCAATTACAAGCACAAGTGGCATAAAAGGTCAGTGCTGCAATTTATAGAAAAAGTTTCAGGACAAGGAATCCATACTGATTCCCGAATAAGGTCGACCAGATCCATAGCATCAAATAAGGATCATTATTTGACACTTTCAGCATGGTGGCACAGAACTACTACAGCTTCATATTTCTCATTAGAGCTGTATGCTACCACTGGAATCTGAGTTTCATAGTCTTCAGTTGCCTGAAGGCATCATAAGATATGGCTGTATACCAGAAGATAAACTATTTGCATCCCGCTTACAGCATGGTGCAAACAACATGTGTTTTGGATCAGACTTCAGTGGAGCGCCATGCTTTTTTACATATGAGTCACGATTCATCCTGGACATTGATTCTTGGCATATCTGTGTCTGAAGAGAGCCTGCAGCATGGTACTATCTTTTCCTCTTCAGCGGAAAAGATCATTACAGTGGTGAAGATGTAATGGTTTGGGCAGGCATTACATTGGATGGCCGCACATCTCTGCATGTGTTTCACAAAGGCTTCCTGACTGCTATGAGGTATAGAGAGGAGATTTTAGAGCCCTATACTGGATTTCTCAGGGGTGCAGTTTGTCCTGAGTTCCTGTTAATTGGCAACATTCCTCCACATAGGCCTCAGATGGTTGATGATTACCTGGAAAGTGATAATATTCACTACATGGATTGGCTAGCAAGAGCTTCTAGCCTTAATCCTATACAGCACATCTGAGATGCTCTTGGGAGGGCAATTTCATCTCATCATCCCAGAGCTGAAAACTGTAGCACCAAATCATTATCAAAATTTCAATTGGTATTTCAAAATAATTAGAATTGCATATAAAGAAACAGGATGCATGATGGAGACAGGCAACATGAAGAAACCATGCAGGAGGAGAAAGGTGAGAGTACAGCATACTGTATAGTGGATTCGTTACTAAACTGGATCCCAAGACGAGCTGCAGTATGCCATATGATGGATGTTGTGCTAGAACAGTAATGCAATAGAGCAAAAATTGTAAATCTATAAGTGAAGTTCTGGTGCTCCGTCCACTTTTCCCTGCCCCAGCCTTGCTGCAGAAGTGGCATCAACTGTCACAGGTACTTTTCAACTACCTGCTGTCCAGTGTGTCATCAGACTGTGTGACCTGACTGTTTGTGAGAGTAGACTATACCCCACCCCATATTAGACTCATTTTCAGCTCACTATCATTACATAGATTTTGGACATCCTGGCACTATGAGTTTACTGATAATCATGCAAACATAAAATGTCTTTTGAATGGTACACTGTGCAAAAAAAAAAGGGGGGGACAGTTCTACATCTCCCATTCTACTAGGACCATTGAAGAAATTCAACTTGCTTTTTCCATGCTCTAAAGCATGACTTAGGATATATATTACATTTATATATAGCATTGTTTTAATATAGGTTTTTTGACACAAAATCATACTTTTTCTGAAATAACATACCAACTTTTTTCAATATTTCGATTCTACGACTCAAATTATGTCTAGACATTAAATTTTGTAATTTTTGGTAAGAAATTTATAGAGAAATTTTAAAATTTATCTTGATAGATTTTTTTCAGTTTGAGCCAAGAATAGTTCACTTGGCAAACTTCTTAATTCCTTTCCTTTTTTACATTGTCCATGAGTGGAGAAAAAAGTCGTTGTTCATACTTTCAAATAATTTTAGCATGGTGCTTAACCACATTTTCATTATTATCGCTTATAATAAATACAGCAAATTTCAAAATGCACCAAAATGTAAATTCACCTATATCTTAGGAAATTCGGAATGAAACTAATTTTTTGCAGGTACACTTGGAAATACATCTAATTTAAGAGGATGGCAAACATTTTCTATGTTATAATACAAAATTGTTTTTGGAAAATTTATAAAAATTATTTAAAAATACAAATTTTTAAAATAAATCATAAAAAATGGAAGAATTTTATTTGGAATGAATCTAAATTTTGAAATATGAAAGGAAGAATCAAATAAGTTTAATAAAAAAAGATATTAATAAATATATATCAAATTCAATTAACATTGAAGAGCTAAAATTTTAGGAGCTAATTTTTTACAAACTACTTGTATAATTCTTACAAAACATAGTAGTTTGGCATAATTTGAGTCATAGAATCGAAATACGGAAAAAAATTGGCATGTCATTTCAGAAAAAGTTCAATTTTGTGTCAAAATACCTATATTAGAACAATACTATATATAAATCTAATATACATCCTAAGCCGTGCTTACGAGACATGAAGAACACAAGTTGAATTTC